GGCGTGAACAGTACGAGCCGCGCGGGCGAGCCGACGAGCCGCTCGACTCGGTTGACACCACTAGCAGTATGCAAATACTATTGCAAATAAATGTTGAATTGGCTAGATGTGCGTGGAAAGTGAAAATTGCTTTATATAAGGATGATTTCTCATCTTTCACGAATTTGATTATAGATGGACTTTTGTCAACGAGAAAATCACCATCATATTATTTTTGTCACTTTTTTTCTTTCGTCACTTTTGAGTGTGTCATTTTTTTTAAATTTGTCACTTTTATTTAAGTTTCACTTTTTTGAGTGTCACTTTTTTTGAATTTTGTCACTTTTTTTAGTGTTTATCATTTTTTTCAGTCACCTTCTTAATTTCCATCACTTTTTAATAAAAACGAGATTGTATGTCATTTTTTGATAAAAAAAAAGTAATGTTTGACTTTAAAAAGCGACATTGTCATTTTTTAAATACTTTTCATATGATTTTTCAAAAGGCCCCTAATTTTAAGGGTATTTTTGTAAGTTGTCCATTAACAATCAGATTAGAATGTGATGTGGTGCAATTGACTTGTCCGTATAAATGGTTCTTTGAGTCACCGTCCCCTAACATTTTGAAAATTTTCTATATGCAAATTTGAGAAAAATATTTTTAAGCTTTTTATTTTTTTATTTAATTTATAAAATAAAGTCGAAGTTAAAGTTAAAGTCAAAATATTAATTTTAGCTCATGTTTGAGCCACATTCTCATTTTTATTTTTATCGTTCTATTCATTTTCAACCACACATTTTTCAATAAACTAATATTTTTCTCAAATCAATAATTTTTCCTTCTTTTTCAACAACATATTTCCATCACATCACATCACATCAAAAAAATGTATTCTCTCCTAAAAAACGTGCATCAAACACAATTATGATTCATAATTACTTTTTTTGATTATGCATAATTTTTAAAATTATCTTTACAATCTCCTTCAAACAAGCTTTTTGTATTTACAAAATACATATATGTTTTTGCTCCCCTTATCAAAAGTTATACAATTGTGGTACACAAACAAGTTTAAAGATAGGTTCAAAAATAAGGGGACGTGTAACAATACATGAATGGGCAATTTCAAAAAAAAATAAAAACACAACACCTAATCATTATCTGTAACGTCACTTTGTCTTTTCATCCCTATCCTTGAGCTTGTCCGAGAAACATTATTCAAAGTCATAATCCTACTCTGTAACTTTTTGTTTTCCGATTTTTCCTTTGATTTCCCTTTCTTTCTTGAAATGTGTACGAGTTCGAGTAGTTTGGAATATAATGCGTGGTTTTTGCCCGTGTAACCCTAAAGAAAATCAGAAAAGGAGAAAATTTGATCCTTAGGGACTTAAATGCTATAAAATCAAGACTTAGGGGCTGTATCCACTAAAATTTTAGGTTAAGGAACTCTTGCTATTATGGACTTCTACCGACTTTCACCCTTCCCGTTGCCGACTTTCAACACTAGTTTAGTCTCTTCATCACTTCTACAGAACTTTCTCTCCGTGTACAGATATTTTCATTTCGTGCAAGTTTTTAATTTAATTTATTTAGTTTGTGAAGATCTCGATTTTGATCTTCCATGGGAGAAGTTGCAGTTGTTCATCCACAAGATATCTTGAAAAATCATTCCAATCGTAATAATATAATCCAGCCGCCTATGAAACCCCGCAAACCCCCCAAAAATAGTAGGAATTCATCCAAATCGCCCCCGAAGAACGACAGCAAGAATCTGATTATGGGGAAGGTCAAGTTTTTGAGACGCGGTGAAGCGTTGACTGATTAACGACATCGGAGAAGTCGAAAATCGTGGCGGCTCCGACTTGGGAGGGTTTGTTGGGTCCTTTGCCTAAACAGATGAATTTTTACGCTGGGTCGGCTTTCATTACATCGCCTCCACCGAGCTCTGTACCTCTTCCAGCGTTTTGCAAAAAGAGTGAAAATATAGAATTGAGATGGCTCGATCTTGAAGGAGTCCAATTAGTTTGTTTTGTGGTTGTGTAGCTAGCTATAGGATTGGATTAGATGATGATTTATTTGGTGTTGGATTGTTGTGCAATTATGTAGGTATGTATGGTTATATTTTTAAAAATTATTAAAAATTAACTCCATATTTGATGCCCATAATTTTTTTTATAGGGAAAATGAGTGAATAATTTTGAATTCACATGTGGTTGGATTTTGGAGAATGATCCCATCCCTTCTCGACCCTGCTATGATATAATCGTTGTTTCCACTTCGTATTCGAAGAAAACGTTTGACCTGCTGCAATACGACGAAGAAAACATCTATGATGACCTAGGTTGCAAGCTACGATTTAAGTATCATAATTATCTGTCATCCCCGAACTCTCGAGCCCCACGAGAACT